TAAACTGTGTAATGATTTATGTTTAAGTAAATATTTTTATAATTTTTATTTCATTCTAATACAGTAAATGTCAATAGATATAACCTAAACAGAATTAATGAGGATCTCTTCAGGGTCCTCTGTAATTGAGTCTAAAAGGGTTACTGAAATCAAAAATACTGAAAGAACCACTTTTCTAGACTTTCCTGTATATCTGTTTGTCAAGTAAAACTTTTATTTTCTAATTATCTGAGATGTTTCTGCTCTTAAAATAATTTCAGAAATTTATCTTGAGGAGAAGAAAAAGTCTACAATCAACTTTTTTTTTTTTTGAGACAGGATCTCAGGCTGACCTCGACTCACTATGTATCCAAGGCTGGGTTCGAACTTGCGTGGATCTTCCTGCCTCAGCCTCGCAAGTGCTTTGATTATAGGTGTATGCCACCACACCCAGCCTAAAAATGTTTACAATCTTAAATGAAAAAAGTCATGTCCGTGAATTTAAGGAGTAATTTATTACATTTTCTTAAGATAACAATACCAAAACTAATATGCCAAGTTAACAGACAACTATCTACAAGCTTTGTGCATGAGTTTCTGATCAGTCACATATAATTAATCCTCCAATAGTTCCTATACCGAAAGTGAACTCTTTGAGAGGTCTATTCACCAAATGCTTTGCAACAGAACAATCCCAATTCCCAGATTCATAGAAGGATTTACCAAAATGCTTGTAAGTAATTCTCAATACTATAATCTTTAACAGTTTTAGAATAAAAAGTTTTATTTTATCTAAACAGCTCAGTATTTCCACAGCTGCTGGAAAATATCAAAACATTAAAACATTAAACCTCATTTGGACACTGTCAGTAAGTGATGGTAAACCTATCAATCCATGTAGTTATCAGAAATCTTCAGGATGGGTGATAATGATAGTTATTGAAAAATAGGTTTTTAGGCCACCAGAAACATTAAAAGATAAGAATTTTGCATTTATTTATTTATTTTATTCATTTATTTTGGTCTTTTTGAGACAGGGTCTCGTTATGCAGTTCAGGCTGGTCTTGAGCTCACTTTGTAGCCCAGGCTGGTCACGAACTTGAAACAATCCTCCCGCCTCAACCTCCCCTGTGCTGGGATTACAGGCATACACCACCACCATGCCCTGCCTAGAATTTTGCATTTATGAGCCAGCATAATGGCACATGCAAGGAAATTCCCCTCCTCAGGAGGATAAGGCAGGAGGATCACAAGTTTGAGGCCTGCCTGGCAACATAGCAAGACCACAGATCAAAATAAAAAGGACCGTAGCTCAGTGACAGAGCACTTGCCTAGCAAGTATGAGTCCTTAGTTTCAATCGCTAGTACCATTTTGTTTATTTCTTTGTTTTCTGAGACAGGTTCTTGCTATGTAGTTCAGGCTGCCCTTTAACTCATTATGTAATCCAGGCTGGCCTCAAACTCAGTGATCCTCTTGCCCTCAGGCCCTCGAGTGCCAGGATTACAGGCATGTGCCACCATGCCTAGCTCCATTTCTTTAAAGAAGGAATTGTAAACCTATGGTTCTGTCTCAAATTAAGATTTAAAATATTGGTACTATTACAATTAAGAGGTCCTAAGTAAACACGTCTAATTCAAAAGTTATTCAAGAGCCAGGTGTGGTGGTAAACACCTATAATCCCAGCACTTAGCACTCAGGAAGCTGAGGTAGGAGGATTACCATGAGTTCAAGGCCAGCCTGCCTACATAGTGAGACCCTGTCTCAAAAAAAAAAAAAAAGCAAAAAAAAGTTACTTAACCCTAGGCTATTACAATAGTCAAGAAGGAGATGACCAAAGACCTTAAGTAGAAAAACACCTAAAGACTAGAAACAGCGTTTCTTAGTTATTCAACATATACTGAATACATACCTTAGTTATTCAACATATATTTCTTAGTTATTCAACATAAACTGTCTACTATTTGCAAGATCCTGGACAAGCTAAGAAGCTTCTAATCAGGTGGAAAGGTAATTTTTTTTTTTTTTTTTTTGCTCTTTTTGAGACACGGTTTCATTATGTAGTGCAGGCTGACCTTGAACTCACTTTGTAACACAGGCCGGCATCAAACTTGCAGCAATTCTTCTGCCTCAGCCTCCCAAATGCTGGGATTACAGGGAAAGACAATTCTATAGGGGAAAGTATCCATAAATAAAATTCGGACACTACTCTAAAATTAATGGAAGAAATTCCATCTGAGAAGTGCTATTAAGAGTGAGGAAAAGGAGTGGAGGAATAACGTCTAATAGAAGAGATCAGAGAACATTCATCCTGGCAAAGACGGTATCTGACCTGGGTTCTAACATACATGATTTCAACAAGTAAATACTGGCATCCCAGTGAAAGCATCCCAGAATGAAAATAAAAGCATATAAGGAATAGCAAATACAAAATAGTTTCTACAGATCTTACTGTGGACTCTGGAAGAGAACCAACTGGAAAATTAGGTTGGAAACAAAAATAGAGGGACTTCTATGACAAGACAAGCAATCTAGGACTTTTTTTCTTTTTTTCAGTAGGCAAAAGAAAGCCAGTGGGAGGTTTTGAAAGCCATTAAAAGATTTATTATTGGAAGGTAAATCAGATGGTACCTTAATATTAAGTCCCTGACTTATGAACAAGTTCTTCTGTTACAGTAATTCTTCCGTTCTGACAGAATTGTTCATGTCAGATTCGTTCATAAGCCAACAAAGTAAGTTTTATACAGTATACCTGTGAAAGTTTGCAACTCAAATGTTCATTAGGTTGAGGATTTACTGTACTGCTGGATAGAGTAGAAATAGGAAAACAGATAGTGTGTAGAGACAGTGCCAGGACAGAATAATATTTAGGCAGTACCAGTACCGGTACAGAATAATAACGCTGACGTGGTGTGGGAGTTAGGAGAATGACAGATACAAAGCACGCTTGCTACCACTTCACTTGATGATTTACCTACAGTTTTAAGTGTTCAAAACTTAATTTATTATATAAAACAAGGTTAATATTCATGTTATTGCTATTAAAAATTCATTGGGTAAACCATGTCTCAGCATACTCAAGTGAGGTTCCTTTTTAAAAAGCTGTTAGAAATAACTAACCATATCTGTATTAAGGATACAAACTGGATAATAAAGAACAGCATACACATATTTTCAGCATTCTGAACAGAATCTCATTATGCACAATTTCATTCGAGGAAGAACATTCTAAACTCAAAAGTTTGTTTCCACAGAAAATAAAGTCTGGATCAGGGTTTTCCACACCTTATAACATCCCTACATATAACATATTTTTATGTAACAATCAATTTTTCTTAAAATTATTTCTGGACAATTCTACTCAGTATTTTACTACTAGACTATTTTCCAACCATTAGTCCCTTCTTCATTTTCTCCTCTCCTTATTCACCTCCCCACCCAATAAATTCTCTTTATACGTCTAAAAGGCAAGACACTGAATGATACAGTGTAAGTCTAAGACAGTTTAAATATACAAATTTTATAACTATAGAAATGTATTAACCTTAGTTTTTATGAGAGAGGTTTCGGTGAGACACTAAATTTTTAAGCACATGAATGACAAATGTATCTAGCAGAAGCTATGCTTCCCCATTAGGGTGAAACAAAGGGGGAAACACACAATAGATGGGTGGCAAATCTTACAAACTTTGCAAAACTGAAAAGCTGCATCTGGACTGCAGTCACAACTATAAAAGGAAATGATCACTCCAAAATGAAGGAAAATACAAAATCTGACTAATCAATAAGAGTAAAAAGGGTTTATTCAACATTGGTATTAGTTTTTAGTAGAAGAGCATTTAATATTATCACTAATTGAAAAAAAAAGGAGGGTAATTCACTGTTTGCAAGGACACAAGAAGTAATCTCTACATACCTTCCATAGGACAATTATACTTCACTACACTTGCACGGGCTCAAATCCTTTCAAACATTTCCAAAAATACACAGTCCTATATTAACTGAGCTTCCCAAATGACACACCATTTATTCTGTGACTTGATTGTAACGCATTTTTAAAACACTTAACGAAACCATCCTCAACAAAAACAAGCAGTCACAAAGGCCCTCTGCTTATTCAAATCATTACATAAAGCAATGTCTGTAACTGCAAACAGGGTTTGAAAATCTGACAGCTAATAACCATAAAATAGGGAGACTCTAAAAAAAAGACTTTTTCATTTTCCCTTCCTTCCCTTTCACTACCAGATACACAAAATGTCTGTGACAGTCTCAGATTGTTAACTCTAAAATAAAAATACAGCGTATGTATACTTCACGTGTATACAGGCACTATCACATGTATGTACATATCAAATAGTCACAGGAAAGAAAAAGGTTAGGCTCTTTTTTTAACTCAAAGAGTTGAAGTTATATTAAACTCTATCCCATAAATTAGGTTAAATCACCATAAATTAAACAATAATAAAATATACCACGTAGGTCTCTCTGAGTCACAGTATTTTGAGATAAAAAACTTAAGGCCAGAACGTCCAATCCCTGAAAATCACTAACCGGCATTTAGTTTCTGTAAGAGAAAATGGTAACCTTAAAATTAATAATCCACATAAGCAGCTCAGTTTCTGAAGTTAACCAAGGTAAAACACAAGGAACCAAATCAGAAAAATGTATGAAACGACCAGCTTTAAAGAACTCCCCCAAAAGGAATGACTGACTTGAAGAGTGGCATACAAAACATCGTCGCAGGTAGAAGTCTTTACTGGGGGGGAGGGGAAACCGGGTCTTTTCCTCCCACCCGCACTCTAGCCCCCACCCCCACCCTCGCAGGACAATGGGATCGGGGTCCTAACTGCAAACTTTAATCGTGTAAACCAGAAGCAGCTTTACTGCAGCTCTGAACTGCAAATCTCTCCCTCATCCCAAACCCAGCGCACCCGGGAACACTTCTGCCCCGAAATTATCACCAAGGTCTTGTTAAACACAAATCAGGCCCATCACAAGATTTTTTTTTTCTCCCAAGTACCTGGAGGATCCATTTCAATATAAAATATCAGTTCTGTCGAATAAGGCATCATCACCTCCCTCCAGTCTGCGTCATCGCGGTCCATACTCCACACGGTATTGTACATCGCGCTGTCAGGGGCAGGTCGTCAGGAAATATATAGAAAGCATATATATAGATAGATATATTTTTTTGTCTAATATTTTAAAATCTGGAAAATATATCTGTAAAAGTTCCACACGGAAATGTACTTCAGGGTTTCTAACGGCCGGTCCAAATCCAGCCAACTACCAGGACCAGGACGAGAATAGGTTCCTCCCTTCTCTCCTCCTACAGCACCCAGCAAAATGCCACCCGAACTTTCAAGCGGTGGGTTTTTCTCCTCAGGTTAGACTCTCTTGGAGGCCGGAGAACTGTACTACTAAAAAGCGGCTTCCCCAAATCCTTTTCACACAATCACTGTCCAAAGAAAAAGAGAAAAGCTCCGCCGCCTCCAAATCTTTCTGCGGAAGCCACTTTTGTGTCCTTCGACGGAGGGAGAACGAAGAGGGAAAAAACGCTTGGGGAGAAAGCTGGGGACGTGACAAAGGAAGGCATAAAAAAGGGTTGGGGATTGCGCTCAAGTTTCGGGGTCCCACTGGTCTGCAGAGCGTTTCCCTCTGGGGCCGGGACTCAGGCTCCGTCCCGGTCGGCTCGGAACCGAAGCTGTCGCAGCCTCAGGGTTGGCGCCCCTCGCGAAGTCCAGTCAGCTCGGCTCGCCTGGGCTCTCCCGCGCGGCGTGAGCAGTACCGCCGGCGACAGATCTCTTCACGCTCTGCCTTGACTCCGACCACTAGAGTTTCATTTTAACGGCGCCGAGGGGACATTCTTCCCCGCCCCCTCCGCCCCCCCTCGAGGCTCCACCCAACGGCGTCGGGCAGGGGGAATTGCCAGCAACAATACCGCTTTTTCGCTCTATCCCGCTTCGACGTACAGGGAGGGTCAAGTGCCTGAGAAAGTGTTCACAAAGCTGTCTCCACTCCAGGTTTCAATCCTTCCCGCCTCTCTCTAGAGCTCAACTCCTTAATCAGTCGTCCTCTCTCGCCCCCAGCCTCAATTGGAATGGTACAGTCCGGGCGCTGGCCGCCCGCCAGGAGTCAGCGCGGAGAGCACGCGAGCCAAGCGGAGAGGGAGAGGGAAAGAGGTGGGGGAGGGATGTAAGGTGGATGGTGATTGGCCGATCCCGGTTGCCGGAGCCAGGAGCCTGCGTCTTTTGTCTGCCTAGCTCCAGCGGAGGAGCGGGAGACCCCTGCGCGCCCCAAGAGAGCCAATCAGGAGATAGCCGGCTCCGGCCGGTGAAGCGGCGATTGGTCAAACTCCAGTTACTAAGCGGGACAAAGGCAGAGGGAGGAAGAAAAGAGGAGGAAAAAAAGAAAGAAAGAAAGCGCAAACGGCGGTTACTGACAGGCTGGGCGAGCGCTCAGGGGGCTCAAGCTGCCCGGAGACAGGCGGGGCTCCCGCCGAGGCTGGTTTACCCGGACAAGTGAGGCGAGGGAAGACAGACTGGCTGGACACCTCTGCCCGGAGCCTGGCCGTGGGGGGGAGGGGAGGTCGAGGGACGCGTGCTATCTCCTGGTGAGGCGCACGCTCTCGTGGACCTCAGAAGGTCTCCAGGCAGAGTCCCTCCTCACAGACCTCTTCACCACGCTAGCTAGGGCTGCCCTCCCCGTTCCGCGTGACAGGTCGTCAGGTAGAGCAGAGATCGCCAAACCCAGTTGGAGGACCATTCCCGCTCTGGGAAAGGCTATGTTAAGGGGCCCCGCAGCGGTCCGGCCGTCACCTAAGCCGCGCTCTGCTGCTCTCCAGAGCAGGTAGGCGTTTCTTAGGGAGGCATTCGTAGTTGCTCTCCGCTTCCCACCTAGGGACTTTTGAACCCCGAGGTGACTCCCCACCGCCTGAAATGGTGAAGCATCTCAGCAGGCCGTCGGGCTGGAGTGCTCAAACCAGAAGGAAAAGGACAAATCTTGGAATGACAGTGCCTGTGTGATTTCTGAGACAAATCAAGTGTTGGAATCTCTTGGCAAAACGACTCTATGATTCCCTGACAGACCCCTGTCTCACACACCCAGACCCTCCCTCAAGCTTAAAGCTGTAGGAAGAGCTTCAGTATAAAAATGCCGGAAATTTCCATGCATTTCAGAAAGAGCTAATTAACTTGCTGGGGAACACTGAATAGCTAAAAGTAGATTTGTGTCTGGAATCGCCATCCTGCTCTACAATAAAATCTGAGGAGGCCAAAAACTGCTCCATTTCCTCTTTACACAGGAGTAACAAAGCCCATTGTGTTTTGAGTTGACAACCTGATTTAAGCCCCAGCAATACCTCGTACCCCAAGTGGCTCAGCTGTATGAGTTGCCACGTTTCATTCTACCTCACACGTTGGTTCTGCCTTCCTTAAAGGTGCCGAAATTGAGACAGTGCCCAGAAGACAACAGTCAAAATGTGTATGAAGTGAGTAGAGGGTAAGGGGGTAAAAAGCTGGTGAGAATGGCTAGACGGTGTGAAGCTAGAAGTAAAAAAAAAAAAAACCAGAATTCTCCCTTACGTTTCTGAAACTGCTTTCTTACATTTCTTACAAAGGCAAATCAGAAGCTGGATCAGCTTTGGGAAAGGGCTCATTAATTTTAATCTCCTGAACCATTCCTTCAGGTAGAAGACGTTGGAAGATTAATTTGAGGCTGGCTTCTCAGCAGTCTCCATTTCACCATGTCTGGGAGCCAGAAGTATTTTTGATAACTCAAAAGGCAAAACAGTCAAGGGTAAGTGGTTTATTTTTGTTCATGGGTGTTCCTATACATTCCCAAACAAAATGAGAGTGAAGAGACAAAGGGTAAAACAGATAGTGGTTTTCAGATTTCCCAGCAGCTTTCTGACTGTACCATTTTCATCAAGTAGTGATGGAGTTCCAATTTCTAGTACACAGAGCAATCATCAGGCCTTAATTCACACCTAAGGCTTTCACAGATAGAGTGAAGAAGTAACAAAGTATATAATCAGATGCTCAAGATGAGTGCATAGAGTAAATCTGTGGTTCAGCCTTGCTACCTAAAACATTACCCATCTCTCCAATTTAAATAGATATTTGAACAGCAAACCTCCAAGAAATCACACTAATGCAAGAGGCCATGATGAACAGAGGGGAAGTACAATTCCTTCAGACCGGCTTGTATCAGCTCTGCTTTGGTGGGAGGTGCTTATTAGATAATGCTGGCCTTACTTTCTTTAATTGAGAAATAGAAGGTTCTGATTACTTGTTACCAAACTGCCTCTGGCACTTCGGCAAAGGTAGAAAATGTTAGCTCTGTTGTCCTGGATCATTTCCATGCTAGAGAATTATATTCGGCCTGGATATGGATTAAATTCAATTCTTAAGAGCTCAAACTCCTAGGTCACAACCTGCTACTTTGGGAGTTGTTTTTATTTTTTTCCTTTGGCCCCATCCTTTTTTTATTTTTAATTTAAAGTAACCATAGGTAAATCAAAAAATATTTCTGCCTTGGTTTATATGTTTGTGAAGGAGGAGATTGTTTTTAGATTTATACAAGTTACTTAGTTTATTGTGAGACACACTAAAGGAAAAAAAACCACGTAAGTATTTAGAATAGTACCTTTCTGTAACTCCAAACAGGATGTCCTTCATTTTTCAACTTGATATGCTTTTATTATGAAACTGTTCAAATATATTCCATTTACCTCTCTTTATTTCAGAGATAGGTAAAATATTTCTCTGTGCTTTGAGTATAGGGTATGATCTCAGAGTGCTCTGTGCCAGCAGAATCAGCCTGGAACTCAGCCAAAAGTTCTTCATGATTAAAGGTGCCATCTGAGCATGCAATATTTTTTCAAAAGCCTTGCAAAATAGAAATGTACTTTTTTTCTCTAGGGTTACTTGCTTTGACTCTAGGACTAACTTTAGCCTTTAGGGAGGAATTCCACTGGCCTCAATCTCCTTTTACTTTTTTCTTTCTTGTCATCATTCCTTTACTACTTGTCTTTTGATAAGGCCTAGTACATGCAGCTAAACAAACTTACTTAACAAATGACACTCCCAGAAAACACTAAAAGTTATCAGTTGCATATTTAAGGGCCTCCCTAGCCACATACCTTGTAAATCAGAGGTAAATCAAGTTTTGATGGAAAAGCTTGCCTCTATAGTGTTAAAGAGCAATGGTGGTGGATCTTCTCAAGAGATTTCACTTGGGAATTTGATAGTTATCCCTTGGAGTAGCAGTGCCTAAAATCACAATTTTCCATTTTTCTCTGAACAATATTCTTTTTATTTGGCATTTGCAATTTCTTACCTCCCTTCATAATACTTGAATACATATATTCAAGTATTACATAATACATAATACTTAAATATGAATTCATGATACAGTTAATGATATCAGCCCAAGGCACCTAGAAATTATAACATTACATGAATGAGTGGGCTTCATAGAAGTAGCATTCTTCCAGATGCCAATAAATTCCTAGGCTTAGGGAGCAATATTTGAGAGCTTCTTTAGAACCATCAGCACATGAGATAGATCTGCTATGCCTCACTCTCCCCTCTTTGAGTCATCCTTCAAACTTAAGGGTCACAGAGGCAGATCTCTCTAGCCTAATATGCTTCCTTCTTTTGACGTCTGCCCTTCCAGCAACACAGGGACCAGCTGGACTACGTGTATGCCACTGTTACAAATTTTCCCTCCAGCAAGGCCACACATTTCAGCTTGGCCTTTACCAGAAGAAAGAGCACACACACAAATGAGATCCAAATGACAGGAACAGTAGTCCAGGGTGTTTCACAGGGCAGGGGACAAACAGGGCAGGCACCTGGTCAGCTCTGTTACTTTATTTAATCTTCATAACTCTGAGAAACACAATTGTATTTTTATTCTCATTTTACAGATGAGGAAATTGAGACCAAGAGTAGTGAAGGTACTTGTTCAAAGTCCTGCAGCCACTTAATAACCCACCCAAGACTGGGGCTCCATGTCATTACTGCAAATTCATTGCCTTTCGCACATGACACAGTTTCCCCCTTCCCTTCAAATGTTTACTGATGTGTCCATACACTAGGGATACAAAAATGAATAAAACAGGATCCTTAACATTGAGTATAGGAATAATAGAGGAGGAGCCAACAAAGAAATAAATAATACAGGCATTTGACAAACTATCAAACTGTTACAAGAACCCCAAAGATGATCTAGACCATATGCACATAACAGAGGCTACCTGGAGGAATTAGGCTTCCCCAGACTTATAAACACCTACTTTAAACATGTGGCCTCTTCACTGCTCAGTTTTCCCAATCCATATGATTAACTCTAAACCTAAAAAAGTTTCACTGAAAGCTGGCCCAAAGAACAGATCAGCAGAGTTCCTCATCTTGAATCTAACTGCAACAGCCTCCTTGCTTTGCTTTCGTCAGTCTGTACTCCACACAGCTAAAGTGATGGCTGTAAGTAAAAAATCTAAACCTGTCTCTTGCTTAAACCCCAAAGCAAGCCAGGGATGGTGGTATACCTGAATCCTAGCACTCAGGAAGCTGAGGCAAGAGGGTCTCTGAGTTTAAGGCCAGCTTGTGCTACACTGTTAGTTCAAGTGTAGCCTGACTACGTAGTGAGAGCTTGTCTCAATCAATAAATGCCGGGTCTTATGCCTTCAGCTCTGAACATTTGATTGAAAACTAATCCACTCACAGTGAAATTTTTATTTTTCTTTTTGTGATACTGGAGACTTGCATACAGAAAGCACTGAACATTCCCTTTCTGTACCTATGTATGCATGTATTTATTTGTTTGAGACAGGGTATCACTATATTGTTCAGGCTGGCCTTAAACATGTAATCCTCTTGCCTCAGCCTCCCAAATCACTGGGATTATAGGCTTGTGCCACACTGTCCAACTGTGATTTTCTTTTAACTCAAAGGGACAGACTATCTTGTGTTATCCTCATTTTGTGCTTCTTGAAAAAGAGGCGCTGAATGAAGATCACTGTTATTCCCCAGACTTCATGCAGGATTCTGTTTCTCTCGTCTCAGTGCCAACATGTAAAATTCTAAGATACTCTTTAGGGCGAAGTCTCCTAAGGCACTGAGATTATATGTTCAAAAGAAATATAATTTTTCTTTTGTGTGTGTGTGTGTGTGTGTGTGTGTGTGTGTGTGTGTGTTTCAGACAGGGTTTCCCAGTGCAGTTCAGGCTGGCCTTGAGCTCACTTTGTAGCCTAGGCTGGTCTCGAACTCACAAAGATTCTCCTGCCTCAGCCTCCAGAGTGCTGGAATTACAGGCATGTGCCACCATACTGGGCTGTTTTTTCATACTGTAAACAGAAAATGTAATTGGTTATCTCATATACCAAATATGTAATATGATCATTTCACTTAAAATAGATTTACTAAGTGTTAACGGTAACAATTCAAAATGACAAAGCTCTTTCATCTCAATCAACTAAGATTCCCTATGAGTTAAATTTTGTGCTAAGTAGTCAATAAGACATTTTTGCTCTGGAATGAACCCATCATCTAGTAAGAGAGATTTAAGTGAACAAATAACAGTCTCACTGGCCACTGTGCTTTCAAACTGACCAACTCTACCTGAGTTGGTAAGATCAAGGTAGCATCCTTTGTTTACCTTCTCCCTTTTTCCTAATAGCCTTACTCTATTTCTTAGTCTTCCTGACCTCTTTCACTACTGAGTCTTAACCTGACATTCTTCACTGATTGTGTTCCTGTAGTATTGACTTCTAGCTGTGTTCTACAACTACAGCTGAACCCATCCTTTGGATTAGGACTTCTTTTCAAAGACAATGGAGGAGTCTAGCCCAGTGTCCTACCTTAATATTGGATCTTGTGGGTGGTATTTCTGCTGAGTTTTCCCAGGACCTTGTAATAAGAACCAAGGAATAGTAGTCATACCCATGAACTGCTCTATCTCTGAAATTTTAAATAGTATACCTTCCTCTCTGACTTTTATCGTCCCTCTCCACTCCTTTTTTTTTGCCAAACCCAGACCTTGGGGGAAATGATTGCCTGCTAATACCATCTTAGTGACTTGAGTAGTGGTTCTCCCCTAAAAATGTGTCGCCCTTAATGTGACCTTATTTGGAAAAGGGGGGGAGGGTCTTTGCAGATACAATAAAAGATCATGAGATCATTCTGAATTAAGGTGACCCATAGATCTTATCAGGTATCCTTAGCAATACAGAAGATTTGCGATAGACACTCATAAAAGGCATAGTTTGTTTTTTTTTGTTTGTTTTGGGGGGTTGTTTGTTTGTTTGTTTGTTGGCTTTCTGAGACAGGGTCTCGTCTGTTCAGGCTGGCTTTGAGCTCACTTTGTAGTCCAGGCTGGTCTCAAATTTGCAATGATCCTCCTGCCTCAGTCTCTGGAGTGCTGGGATTATAGGAGTGTGCCACCACAAAAAGGCATATGTTGAAGACGATGGCAGATACTGAAATGCTCCAAATTTTATAAGCCAAAGAACACCAAGAATCACATGCAAGCTAAGAAAGCTAAGTAAACAGGTATGGAGCAAGTTATTTCTCAAGAGTCTTCAGAAGGAAGCAATCCTTCCAACTTCCTAATTTTGGACATCTACCTTCCAGAATTATGGAAAAATAAATTCCTGTTTTAAACCATCCAGTTGTGCTAATACATTAAGGCATCCTAGGTAATTAATACACTAATCAACCACCATAATTTTTTTTTCAAGTACTGAGTATTGAACCCAGGGAACGTTGAGCTGTACCTATAGTCCCAGCTCTTTT